GTAAGATGCAATTGTAAGAGAATTAAAACCAAACAAACCTCAGCTAGAGAACAGAATACAAACACGATGTCCCCAGAGGAGGGAGACAACCGTGAAGAAAGCAGAGAGACCTGAGAATGGAGAGAGTGAATTCTGAAGACGTCTGACTGTTCCTGAAGCCAAACATCCAGGTGAATTTCTCAGGTAGAATTTGTAAGTCTGTGTTAGTTTGATTTCTCACTTGCAACTGCATTCTATCCTACTTCAAAGCTTGACAGTTCAAACTAATTTCCATATTCCTGTCAAGGCATTTCTGCATTGAAGACACTGAACCTTCTCTTCTACCACTCAGGAGGAAGGTGGCTCAATGATGAGCTGTGTGGCAGGGCTCAAGAAATATGCATGCCTGAACTTCCTTACCTCTTGCAGTAGGCTTATTCAGATCCTAATGAGCAAACTGAGGATCAAAAGAACTTGTGACTTGGTCAAATGTAGGCTGCAGCTATTAGAGCCAACCTGACTCTTGGGATTGACTCTTTTTGTATTGAGTGATGTTCCACAAGGCACGATTGACACATGGACACTGTTTTTTGTTTTTTTTTTTCCTTGATGGGAATATCTCTTCCTCACAGCTCTAGCTGGTTGAGTGAATAAACAACTTTAGACCTGGCGGTGCTGAGTCAGCCTGGGCTTTCATTCTGCCCTCACTGGCTGGAACACAGAGAACTTCACTGGGATGGCTGTAGGCCTCCTTTTTAACTATCACCTTGTTCGTGGGGCAGTTTGACCTTAAGCTGCGTGCAGGTGCCATAGCTTGTATCCGGTCTGTTAGCTGAGCACATCCAGGGACTAGATGTAAAGATATGCCCAGTGACTCTTGTTGACATTACTTTGAATCTGCGCCAAGCACTGAACAGCCAAAAACTATCCCAATCTCAGGATGTTTAAGAAATGCTCTTAAACTAGTGTGGGGTAAGGGAGAGGCTTCATAATTTGAAAAGAAACTAAGAGTCCCAAGGATGGAGAGCCAGCCCAGTCCTAAGGATTGGATTTGGACACAGGCCTAATTCTGAACCCTATTGTTTTCACAAAGACTCTACTGAAATTCAGGAACCAGAGGCTCCCCTCAAGATGACCATTAAACACCCCCACACACACAGAAAATATTACAAGACATACCCAGTGCTTGATCCTGTGAGCTAAACAAGGAAAGACAATTAATAGCATGATGAATGTTAAGTAAAGGGTTGAAGAGAACTGAAAACAGAGAGCAGAGGGAGGACCTGGAGTCAGGACCTTCCTCCAGGAACTGCTAAAACTGAGGAGGCTCAAAGAGAAAAAAGAGGGCTTGGTTTGAATTTCTAGGCCTTCTAAGTATTATCAAACCACACAGTAAACTCTCTAAGACTTCCTAATTTTCCCTTTTAAATGGCTTGGTGGCCAGAAATTTAATTCCTTGACAGCCAGTGTCCTTACGAATCTGTGAGCACTCTCAACGATGGCTCTTGAGGTTTTTAACAATTACGCTGGAAAGCATTTATTTTGCTTTTTGGGTAGCTGAATATTTTTGATCTTTGCAGTTTACAACCACTAATTCCCCCCACCCCTTTTACTGCAAACATTCTCATAGCTTATACATCTTAAACACAATGCTTTTAATTGCCTCGTGGGTGGAACACCAGTGACCCACAGAGCACAAGACACAGGGAACCATGTGTCTGGAGAGGAAATTCCAGGAATAGCCTAAAGTTGCTTGTCATAACGTAAGTTGGATCCCTTCACACAGCAAGACAGGCAGCCACTGCAAAACATGGCCTCTTTTAACCTTCTTCCATGAAAACTGACAAGAGCTTCAGCATGCCCGGGCAGACCCAGACCCAGCAGCAGGAAACAGCGCCGTCCTTAATCCAAGACAGAGACCTGCAGCCACCCTGCCACTCTGTCCAAGCCGTGGTGACCCGGACACACAAGGCAGAGAACACACATGTAAGATCACCTGTGCCATCATTAGGCTGGGTACCTTCATATTTAGCATGGCATCTACCTTCATCAGTCTGAGTACATCATTTCCCCAAATCATAGTAAAGAAAACCTAACAAGTCAACCAAATCAATACTTTTTGGGTGCAAGGTTCTTTAAAGGGCTGGGAAATTGTGGGAATCAAGAGAAAGCCAACGTCAGAAATCACCTAGAATGTTTTCAAACGAGTATGATCAGGATCTGTTGGGTCAGGCTATCTTGACAGATATGAGCCAGATATGACAAGGACCTGGATCAGTCCTACACCCAGCACCCTGACAAAACCGACTTCTGTTTGAGTAAAGGAATTGTGTGCCTTGATGTGTTAGATGTCAAACCCTGATAAATCATTCTTCTCAAATGACTTCTCAGGTATGGCCAACAAAAGTACATAGAGGCCTGACTGCTGCTGACACTTCCACTGTCGGTCACGTCTGAAGGACAGGCTAGGGCTGCCTGAATGTGGGGCTCTAAGTCCTGGCTACTTATTACTTGGATGGGTGAAAAGCAATGAAGAAACAGGGTGGGCATATAGACCACAGAGCTGTACCCCCTTTCCTTAGACCAGCTATAATGACCTGCTAAATCGGTAAGTCTCCAACACAGGCAATTCCGCATCTTCTCACACCCCTGACTAAAGCCCAGTAAATCCACTTATTGGAGCTACTCTGCCTTCCTTTACAGCTGAGTGAACCCATTCCTACTGAATACCCTGGCAGAGCTGCAGAGTGCGCTGATGCTTCTGCTTTTCCACCTGCCTTCTGCACTTAAGGGTGTTCTGTAATCTGAAGAGAGCAGCAGGCATAGTTTTGGGTCAACATGTTATGGGTCTTCTGAGAAGAGGAAACTTCAATTGGGAAAAAAAAAATCTATCAGATTGATCTGTAGGACCGTCTGTGAAGCATTTCCTAGACTGACTGATATAGGAGGGCCTAGCTCACTAGGAGCGGTGCCGTCCCTGGTCAGGTGGTTCCAGGTCCTGTAGGGCCGAGCAAGCCAGCAAGCTGCACCTCCCCCATGGGTTGCCCTTCAGTTTGTCTCCAGGTCCTTGCTTGAATTCCTGCCCTGCTTTCCTACATGATGTACTGTGACTGGGACAAGTAAGTCAAAACAAACAAACAAAAACAATCCTTTCCTCTCCAAGATGCTTTTGGTCATGGTGTTTTATCACAGCAATAGAACCCAAATCAGAACAGGCCAAGACAGCAAGCCAAATTCCCAAATCAGACCTGCCCAAACAGAACTCAAATGCAGAACTAAGCACTCTTTAAACGACCCCGGGTGAGTAGCTAGGACCAAGGAGCAAACCCAAGAACAGAACAGACTGCAGGAGCTGAATGGTCCCCAGACAGCGGCTGGCAGATGACTCCTGCCTAGTGGATTGCCTCTTTTGGCAAACTGAAAAGGGATCAAGAACAGCTTGTTTAAACGAATATCCCATTTGTGGGATGCATTTCTGTGATAGTAGTACTCAAGAAGCCGAGGCATTGCAAGTGGACTATTTACTAAGATCTTATTCAAATAGAAAAACATAATTCATCCCTTTTTTATTTTTTGAGATAGGGTTTCTCTGTGTAGCCTTGGTTATCCTGGACTTGCTTTATAAACCAGGCTGGACTTGAACTTAGAGAGCCACCTGTCTCTAGCCCCCAGAGTACTGGGATGACAGGGGTGTACTACTGTGTCCCAATGTTCCAACCCCAGAAGCAGCTGTAGCAGAGGGCTGGAACCTAACAGACACTTCTGTGTCTACAAATACACTGTCTTCTCTGCGGCTTTTGACAACCTACTCAGACTTCTATCTGCTCCCTGATACTAACCAACATTAGTATTTCCAAAGCTTATAGGAAAGGAATGGCGGTCTCTATCAGAGAAAATCTGCCAGGTCCAAGGCAATGTGGCCACTTAGGTCTGTTTGGGCAGGTTTGATTTAAAACAGCAGTGGCCTCAAATATATGGCAGAAAGAATTTTAAGATGACCAATCAAACACAAACTCAGGCAGTGCTGTGACTGGCTAACCTTAGGACAGTTGGAGTACCCAGGCAGGACCGCTGTACCACAAATTACTTCAAGGCAACCATCCTTAGTGAGCACCCCAAAAATATGCCAGATTCAGTTTAAATGTCAAGGATTTGATATAGCCTTGTTGGCTTCTTGAAGATAGAGGAGTCAAGCAAAAGGGAAGGCTGGAAGAGTCTATAGGTGAAAGTTGTTGAAAGTAGCCAGAAAAAAAAAAAAAAAGGCTTCAGTCCCACACCGATACCTGTACCCAGTTTTTCCCAGAGCCTTCAAATGAGAGCCGCAGGGTCTAAGACCCTGACCGCAACCTTGTGAGATGTCAGGTAGAGACTCTACACCTGCCACACTTGGGACGGACTGACTCTGGGATGGTGAGTGACCATCTGTTACGCACCAACATAACGAACATGGAAAGCTCTGGGCTCAGGTGTTCGAGGACAGCTCTTGGAGTCTCCATCTTCCTGATTGCTAAAGTCCACCCCACTAGCCCTTATCCTGTACTCACATCAAACATAGATCTACTGATCAGCAGCAAATCTTGCACATTCATGCTGGTCTCTGCCCTTCTCAGAGCCGTGTTTGCAGTAAGTAGTTGTGAGTGGTGAAGCAGTATTTCCAGTGGAACGAAGAACAGACTTACTATGAAAACGGAAGTGTCCTCAGCTTACCTGAGATGAAGGTTTTCCTGTACACACACCAACCTGAGCCCCTCCCTTCCACAGCAGGCCTTGGCAGTAGGAGACATCAATTTAAATGTTTATGCTGCTTGCCATGCTACTAAGTGCTATGTCTCTGACATGGGACTTTCAGAAGTCTTCTGCTAGCATCCATGAAACTGGACTATTAGCTTACCAGTAGGTAAAATCCCAGACGCTGGTTGTTAGATCTTAAAATCAGGAGATGTAATGTTTTTGCATCAGAAATAAACAAACAAAACACCCTTTTGCATTTTCTCTAGAAGGAATAATTTAGACTACAGTGCTATTAGAAAACTAAAACCAGAAATTTATGGCATACCTGGAATAAAAGAAACACTTGGCACATTCCATAGCTACCCTCCCCATCCCGACCACCAGACCCTCACAATCTACCAGATCAAGTTCAGCATGTGCCCATGGCAAGCAAGTTCTTCACAAGACAAGAGACACAACGAACAGATGCCCAGCCTCTGGCAGTCTCATGGTCTGCCATGATGAGCACTGTCACATTAATCCCTACACCAAACCACAGTCCAGAGAAACAGAAGTGCTGCCAGCATGACCACTATTGAGGGCCCCTCCTCCAGGTGAGCCCGGAAGCCCACATAGCCTGGGCCTCCAAGCAATGTCGCTGTCACTGGAGAACAGCTGGAAGCCACACGATACAGTCACGTTTTATTTGCATATCAGTATTTTCAGTGGAAAATGAACAAAGTCTTTAATGTTGAGAGGCTGTCCTGTCCTGGATGGATGCATCTGCACTTGGTCCCTTTGGTCCTTGGCAGCTTCTGCTTCATCCATACCCAACCGAGTCTGACGTTGGGATTGGATCACTTGAGGGTCTTGCTGAGGTTAGAGAAGCCAATACCAACACAGGTCATCAGTACTTTGTCCCCACCCTTGAGTTCTTCACCACATGGCTTGGTTTCAATTTTGAACATAACCTGGAAAAAGCTCTTCAAATGCCGCAAAAATTCTATCCTAAAAGAAAATAATGAAAAATTCATAAAAAATCAAAACCAAAACAACTCTGACCTCTTAAGACCCAAGATTTTAATTTCTGAGACTAAGAAGACTGAAATTAAAAATCAAAACTGCTTAAATAATATTTATTTACAGCCTGTCCAGTTTCCCAGGAGGACTGGAGCAGCCTGCACACACACAACCCAGGTAAATGTGGCTGGAAACAGGATAGTGTAAGATACGGCCATTTAGTCCCACACGCCTGTTAGAGAAAGGACATAATACCTTCCACACAACACTGACCTCCCTGAGTCACAACACACGAGGTAAAAAGGAGAAAAAAGACTAGTTCTGATACTGAATTCCAGCACCTGCCTTCCACTTCCTCAACAATATTTTCTCAATGTCTCTATTAGATACAGGCATTGTTACTGGCGCTAGGAACACTGTAGTGCAATTAAGAGAAAAAAGGACTGCTCCCCTCCCCCTAAGACTTCCATCTACTGGTACAAATCAGAGAAGTGAGTTCAGTATTCTTAAGAACAGTTATAAACTTTTAAATAAATCAACAGAGCAGGGAAGCTGGGGTGTGGCTTGGTGGTGGAGCCGTTGCCTAGCAGAGGGGAAAGAACTGAATTTGTGCATATTTGTAGGAGACGACTGTTAAATAAAGCACCAGGGAAGAGCTCACAGTGAACACTGTGGAAGATTCATAAGGCTGTTTCTTAGCATTTCCTGTAGCAGAAAGAATGGCGTTACCCTTCCTGAGATAGCAATTCTTCAGGTGGGCAGCGATGCGGCTGCTGGGACTTCAAACTGCCTCAGTACACTGAGCATGGCCCTGGTCTAACCAGATGCTCACTTGGAGCTGTCACCAAACAAATAGGGTCCCAAGGGTTGGAGGAAGGATCCTCAGGGAAAGCCTAGAGTCACAGAGCACACGTAAACACATGTTTTCCTCTTGCCTATACTCTGCTGTCGGAGCACAGGGACTAGGAATCTACTACTTGCAAGCATCCCTGGTGGTTCTTATCAAGCCAGTGAAGAACCCTGCTCTGTTCATCTGCAATGAAGTATCAGGCAGACACCTGTGGCATACTGCTTCCTGATCCAGCCAGCCTCCATACCAGAGCCACACAGGTCTCAGCCTAAAGTACACAGGAATTGCCAGAGGAACGTTTAACATACTGAGTCTAGATGTGCACATCAGTGTAATAGAATTGGGGGGTCAAGAAGCCAACCCACTTATTTAAGGACAGGTTAGCAGTTTGATCAGGAAAGAACTACAGAAACAATGCAAGAAGAACTGATTATTCACAAACAAAGAATGGAGGAATCTGACTCCTTCCCATCAAAATTAACTCAAGCAAGACCTCTGTAAGTGTTGAAACTATGGGGTGAACTTCATTACTTTTGGATAATGAACAGTTTCTTAACAGCTGGTAAAATAAAAACACCAAAATCACAGCAGTAAGAGAGAACAAAGAATTCTTACAGTAACTCAGGAAAACAACTAATAAGACAGGCAGGAGATCCAAGTAGAATCACCTCACAGACACACAAATAACCAGCAGGCACTTGAAAAGAGGCTCAGCATCATTTGCCATTAGGGAAATGAAAATGCAAAACTGTCAGAAGAAACTACTTCGTGCTCAGCTGGGGCACTAACTAAGGCACACAGGAACAAGTGCGGTGGGGGTGGGGGTGGGGGTGGTGAGTGAGGTACGTTTCACAGTGGTGATGGCCATGTACAGCACCACAGCTTGGAAAATAATCAGCCCCTCAAACTCAAGCAAGGGGTTAGGGTATGACACATCACTCTTAGAGACGTGCCCAAGAGAAGTGGAAGCACATGGCCTGAAGACAGAATCTGCACATACATTTGTAGCTGCACTGTTCTTCGGATTCAAACAGTAGGACAACCCAAATGTCCACCAGCCACTGAAAAAATAAATGTGTCATATTCAATGGGATTATTACCCAGCTCTCCAAAGTACTTATACATGCTACAACTTGGAGAAGCTTTGTAAACTGTGCTAAGTGGTCACTAAGGACCATATATTATTATAGGACTTGTTTTCCATGAAATGGTCACAATAGGAACAGAGAGCAGGGGAGGGTGGGAAGAATGGGCAGCAACCACAAATGGGCACAGAGTTTCTTTCCGGGGTGATAAAACATTCTAAAATTAGGCTGTGGTTCTTCAACTCTGTGAGTATACTAAAAACTATTAAACTGTACATTGTCAATGGGTATACTGTTTGGCCACGTAAATTATATTCCTATATTGTTGTTTAAAATAAATACCCATTTATGAGTTTAAAAATGTGCTGATCCTGGGTCCTTGAAGCCTCCTCAGCAGCAACACCGGTCCACATGACTCTTCCCTGCCTCACGGGTTCCTACAGCAGTCTCTGTAGTGGTGGCTACTTAATTTATTGCCACACTCTGCCGGGCCACTGGTAAGTCATGAGCATCTCAACAGTGACAGACTTCTGCACACAAACCCTCTACCGGGGTAACTGAGAAATGACTTCAATGTTCTCGGTAATTAAGAGAAGTCAGTTCTCCCCCTGCTGGCTTTCTGGTCTTACTAACCATGGAAACTTTTTTGTCCTCCTTTTCTTTTTCCATCCTCTTTCTCCATCCATCCCATCACCTTCCTCACCTTGTCTTAGGAAAAAGAGAAAACAAAGACAGGAATGCCATAGATAAACAAGCCACATGTGTGAGCCAAGCTTCCAGCTGGCAGCAGTAGAGAAAAACACCAGGACCACGCTGAGGGGAACAAAGCTTATTCTCCCTAACGGCTACCGCCTGAGGCCAGCTTCCCTCTGGACCTCACCCACCTCCTTCACTCTTAATCATTCAACTGTGCTCAAAAAGCCAGATGCCCTCCCCAGCCAGCAGGACTCCTGGGGACTTGAGCTCACCTGGTGCCTTGGAGGAAGGTGGGAGAGATACAGAACTGAGTGTGCAGGCCTATGTATGTGCAGCTTGGAGGAATTTGTAGCTTTTGGAACAGTTAAGAAAACGACTTTGTGCCCGGTGTTCTGCCAACCTCTCAGTCTATCTGAAGAAGGCTGCAGAAGACAGGACTGAGGTGTACTTCAGAACATTCTTCTTCCACCTCCCACCTCATTCTCCCTACATCTTCTGTAGCTGGTATATTAAAGAGCAAAAATGAAGTTGAAAAATGACTGGGATGAGGTTAAAACCAAACAAATAGCTTCCTTAAGAAAGAGAAACACGCATTTAATCCCAGCACTTGGGAGGCAAA